GTTCTGGCCGCCTCGCTTCTGCGTCAACTTTCTTCGGGCCTCCTGATACGACTCTTGCTCCTTGAGCTGCCAAAGGAACAGCTCGAACCACCGCGGGTCGTAGAGGGCCGAATGCTGCAGTTCGTGGGGAGCAGGGGCTTGATGCTGACTGAACTGCTGGTAAGGAGGCGGCCCTTCCAGTAGGCCGACAGTTGAAATTAGCCAGCTTCCAGAGTCGATGCTGCTCTGTTCTCCTGCTGCCATCAACAACCCTACTCGAGCGCGAGCTTCGGGGACCCGGTCCTGAATAAGACAGTCCCATATCGCACCCAGCTGCCACATCCATCTCACATGGTTGGTGTAGTTCTGAACTCGCGACCGACTCTGCAGCCAAGAACGTACTGTAGCTTGCCCTTGAGGCTCTCCAGGCAGCGCCTCGCGCAATCCAAAAGTCTTCGCGCAGATTGCGCTCCAAACTTTCGTAGATCACATGAGGCGAGTCCCGGACAGCTTTGCGAAGAGCCATCAGAGCTGCAGAATTCCGGCGAGAGGTCCCGCTCGACGAGGTCTCCGACTTGTCTCCCAGCATTCCGTAACCCAGCAGAGCTTCCAAGTCGGGCTTTGGATCCTTCCTGGAGGCTGTGAGAGTCTTGGCAATCTTGGTAAGCTCTAGCACCGCTTTCTCCATCTGACTTCCACTGGGCCCCGATCCAGACGCGCCTCCTTGACACGCATTTTCTTCTGGGAGAGGATCCTCGTCCTCCGTCTCTGAAAGTGGTCCCGACCGAACCGGAGCAGCGGGGAGATCTCCAATCGTCCGAGGTTTGGCTTTGAGCAGTTTCGCCATTTGAACCAAGTGTTCGTCTGGGATGCCGGCTGCTCTTGCCGACGCCACTACTCCGCGATCCAAGTTCTCCAGACTGGGTCTGGGTCCTGCAGCATTCTGCTTCGGCATGGCACTCTGTTTGGGCACGGCGGTCGATGGATCTGGGGTGTGCACGCGTTGTTCCAGGAGAGCTGCCAGGGACAATCTGATCTCGCCGATGGACTCCTCTAAAGCTGCAACCCTCCGATCCACCCTGCCTCCTGCCCCTCTGATGGGCCGTTGAGCTTCGGACTCGGCAGTGAGGAAAGAACAATGGTCGTCGGCCAGCTTGATTAGCGAAGCACTGTAGGGCATGCAGCTCTGGCCGTCGGAGTCGGCGAAAGCAGGCTCGAATACATCTTCGGGGTCCTCCAACCTGATCTGGGCCTCGAAGTGCGCGGAAGCATAGGCTACCCACACCTTGACCTCCACTCCGGAGGATGCTTGCGAGGGGGGATCTCCGGGGATAACCCCAGCCACGGCAGCGTGGGTTGGCTTAACCAAAGCTCCCGGTGGGAGGAGCCTCTGCAAAGGAGATCGGTGCCAAGCAGGGCTGGGCACGGCAACCAACAAACGCCCACCAATGACTACAATCGGAATGACAGGAACCGTTTGCGTGCTGTCCCCGACGGTAATGCTTACGCAGAGTCCTGCCGGTGCCTCCTCCAGGTGCTCGTTCTCTGCTGTGACCAAACAGTAGTCTCGCACGGCCAAAGGCAGTCCATCCAAATCTTCTGCCGCTGGGCCTTCGGGCGCTGCATCTTCTCCAGCACTCATTGTGCCAAGCTCGGCCAAGAAGTTCCGGCGTGACGAACTGTTTGTCAGGCCTCCGTGTGGGAGGCGAAGCCAACAACGACTGAATCTCTGAAATTCTCCCGCGCCCAGAGGTAGACCCGGTTTGCCAAACTAGCTTGTGACTGGCACGCGGTTCTTCTATTCGCGCCCTCCAGGCAACGAATGAAGAACTCACCTGTGCTGCGAGCCAGCCGCAAGCGACGATCCCACGAAAGAGAGCCGTGATCCTCAGCAAAGGGCGGAAGGATACCGCCCACTTCGAGCTCGAGAGATCAGATCCGGAGAGTAGGCACCTCGATCTGCGTTTGCAAAGCCTCAGCACTCAATCGAGGATCTTGTAGAGGGAGTCGGGACCGCCTCGCAGCCGAGCTCGAACGCAAGCCCTGACGTATGCTCGCCAAAGAAAGAAGAGCTCCAGCAAGGGGTAGAGGGTCAAGCCGAAAGCAATTCCCACGATCAAAGAAACCAAATCCAACTTGTAGCCCCACAAGAGGAAAGATGGACTTGGGTCCAGCGCGGGACAGAGCAAGTCGTACCCAGGGGCCACGGGAGGCCTCACAAGGTGCTGCCCAAGGGCCACCACAAGGGCTCCGAGCGAGCCCGAAGCAGCCGCAGGCGCGAGGCTATGGCTGCTATCCATCAACAGGCGCTTAAGAGAAAAAGCTGCGCGCCAGGCGTTCAAGATAAACATGTTTGACATGTACTATATAATACAATATATTATATTATCAAGGAATATATAATATAATACTTTAAAAAACATTTAAACATATGATATAAGATACATTATGAATAATATAATACAATAACATAGAATATAATACACTATAATGTAATATAATTTAATATAATAGTTTATGATATAAAATCATATAATATAAACTGTTTCATTTATAATACATAGCATACAATATATAATATTTCATATTTAATGTCTAATGTCTAATATATATATATATATATATATATATTATATATATATTATCTAACATATATATATATATACTGTATATATAGATAAAAAAATATATAATATATAGATATAATACATGATATTTAATATCTAAGACCTAATTTTAAATATATAATACATAATAATGGTAGTATATAATAAATATCATATAAAATATAGTATAGTAGTAGTAGTAGTAGTAGTAGTAGTAGTAGTAGTAGTAGTAGTAGTAGTAGTAGTAGTAGTAGTAGTAGTAGTAGTAGTAGTAGTAGTAGTAGTAGTAGTAGTAGTAGTAGTAGTAGTAGTAGTAGTAGTAGTAGTAGTAGTAGCAGTAGTAATAGTAGTAGTAGTAGTAGTAGTAGTAGGAGCAGCAGCAGCAGCAGTAGTCGTAATCGTAGTCGCAGGAGAAGTAGTAGTAGCAGTAGTAGTAGTAGCAGTAGTTGTAGTAGTAGTAGTAGTAGTAGAAAAAGACCCCCAGTTGCAAACACAATGCTCGCATCATGGGTCTCGAAAAGACGTATGCTTTGAAGCAAGCTTGCGCGATTTGAAAAAGCGGGGTCTGGGGGGGGTGCAGCCCCCCCAACACGCAAACACAATGCTCGCGTCATTAATTTCGAAAAAAAAAAACGCTTATTTTTCGAAGCAAGCTTGCGCGACTTGAAAAGCGGGGGGGTTGGGGGGGGCGCAGCCCCCCCCATTTGCAAACACAATCCTCGCATCATGGCTTTCGACACACGCGTATGCGTTGAAGCAAGCGGTTGCGACTTGAAAAAGAAGCCAAGAAGCCAAGAAGCCAAAAAGCTAAAAGCCGAGGAGAGCCAGGAAGCCAAGAAGCCAAGAAGGCAACAAGCCAAGAAGCCGGGAAGCCAAGAGTTCCACTCGGAAAACGTGCCAAAACTCAGGGTTTTAGCGCCTCGAGATGCGTGTCGTGTGAGAGGGTCGTCCATCGTGCTCTGAGAACGTACCAAAACTCGAGTTTTTGCGCCTCGAGACGCGTTTCGTGTGAGAGGGTCGTCGATCGCGGCCTTTTTTTTTGATCCTTTTTTATTTTCTTGTTGATCCTTTTTTATTTTCTTTTTGATCCTTTTCTATTTTCTTTTTGATCCTTTTCATTTTTTTTTGATCCCTATCCCCCCAGGCAAACCATGCAAAACCCAGAGCCGATCGACACGCAAAGATTAGGCACCCTCCTGCCTGGTCCACGGACGCCTGCAAGGAGTCCGGAGAGCGCATCCGATGACTGCTTCCGTCACCTCAGAATCACACGTCCGCAGCTGCAATGATAGCACCAGCTACGAAAAAGCTACAAACTATCGCAAGCTGCAACAAGCATTCTCTGAACGAAGGTTGCTGTTGCGGCTGCTAATGGGGCCGAATCTCTGGACACTGCCATTTGCAAAGCATGCAAGCCATCCGCACAGCTTTCCCCCTCGCCTGAGAATCGGTCATAGGCAGGATTTCATGGGCAGGCACAGAACACATGACTCTTGATGCGAAAGGGAAAGCAAGCAAAGTAAACGCAGGGCGTGCAAGTGCCAACGGCGTTTATCCTTGCAAAAGGATGAGCCTCTTGGAGGAAGATGAGGAAGGTTGTGGGGCGCACTGGTAGGAAGTTTCGGTTTTGAGGAAGAAAAATCAAGGGGGGTTGTCCTTCCCGAGAGGGGGAGGAGAGGTTGTGCTCAGTGGAAACACCCGGATATCAGGGCCTGGTAGGGCCAGGGAGCCAGAAGCCCCCCAAACAACACCATCTAACATTTTTAGCTCTTCCACCTGTGCGGCAGAAGGCTACTGAACCACAGAGCACACATGTTCAAAAGCAAGCGCTCAAAGAATGGCAACCAAAGGTGGTGTTTTTTTTTTAACGCCGGCTTTTTTGAGAGTCGAAGTGTCTGAGCACTGTCTGACCGCTTGCCATGCGGAAACTTCGCCACGCGCGACTCCAATCTCATCAAATGGGCTCAGGCAACCAGACCTCAACAGTTCAGGTTAACGCCAAGGGACCGCAGACATCATCTTTCTGAAAAGCGCGGCTCCAATTTGCCGCAGCTGCACGAAGGCCCAGCAAGTGGAAAGCAACGAGCCATGTGGCCAAGCGGTCCATAGAGCAAAAGCCGAATGAAGAAAGCCCGCGCAGGGTCATGGAAAGGACACACGACTCGTTAACGTGCGAGAGCTTCTGGGTCAGTTCTCTGTTCTCTCTCAGCTGTGACCTGTGAAAATCCGCTCTCAAGTCGCTCGTGCTGACTCACCTGAACTCAACTGAGGTGTGGCTGCACCCGGAACTACGCCCGGGAGCGACAAAAGAAACAGCTGCGAACATGGGGGGGCTTTGCCATGCCTCCAAGGCAACTGTCAATCTGAGCGAATCAAGACAAGCAAACCCTAAACCCTAAACCCTAAACACAAGGCCTGCGTGGCCAGTTGTGCCAGAGGTGGTGCCTGCAAAGGCGCCAGCTGTCCACTCCTCCCCGCCCTCTTTCTGGCCACCACTAGGGTTTAGAGCCTAGGGTTTAGGGATTAGAGTTGAGGGTTTAGGGTTTCGGGTTTAGGGTTGAGGGTTCAGGGTTGAGGGTTTAGGGTTCAGGGTTGAGGGTTCAGGGTTGAGGGTTTAGGGTTGAGGGTTTCGGGTTCAGGGTTTAGGGTCTGCTGCCGAGCTGCAGGAGTCGTAGCACTGCTGCCAACAGGGTAGAGAACGCTCGGAGGGCCAGATGGTGCACTCGGCAGACCCGGACCCGAAGGAGAAGTGGGTAACACTGAGGATGTGGACGTGTTGAGCCGGGCCTCACACGATGCTTTTGCAATTGTGCAAAAAAAAACTTATGGAGTCGTGGCCAGCACCGGGCATTTCACCAGAGAGCAACGATGCTGAGAACCAGGCCGACTCAGTTTTGATGTTAAAGGCTGCCCGAACGATAGCCTCTCTCAATGAGATCGACCATCGAGCTACGAGCCTAGATTTACATGCGATGCATCGTCGCCAATGTTGACTGGAAATGGAGCCTCGACGAGGCGGAGGCTCTCTGACCTAGGTCTCGCATGCTGGCACTATGCACCCTAAAGCCTAAACCCTAAACCCTGAGCCAGCGACAGGGACAGGCTTCCGTTCTTGTCCTGGCACAGGGTGCAGCAGTTTGAGCAAGCTTGGAGCTCCAGAACCGAAAGCTGAGGAGCGGTCCCTGTCGAAAGCGGTGTAGAGCTGATACACCTGAAAGATTCGAAAAGACAACACATGATCAGTGAGGCCAAGCAGCCAGGCAGCTGCTTCAAAAGCCTAAGGCGATCAACGCCCGCCTGCCCTGAGGGCGGCGGATGCAGGCCAAAATGATCCAGGACCTTTCCACGTTTTGCACTTAGGCCGAAAATCAGCATCTGCATATCGGCCAGGGCGCCTGGGTGATGAACTGTGGGATGGCACCATTGTTCCAAGTCAAAGTGCCTGGATCGAAGCAGTCGCCTTGAATCTTGCCAGGCGTGCGCGTGCACCGCAGCACTAGGCCTTTTCCTTCTGCCAGGTGCCTGCCAGGTACGTTCGTTGCAAAGTGCTACACATAACGAGGGCCGGCAGTAAGAGATGTCGCCGCGATCTTGTGCTGGCATGACTTGGGCGGGAGAGATCAGAATGGCAACATGTTGGGCTTGCCCGAAGGTTGCGGTCGCGACCCTGTTCAGGGAGCCGTCCTCCACGCTCTGGACCTGACGATCATCAACATGGCTTGTGGCGAGGCCGAATGAATGCATTGCACCGGCAGGCCTACGACAATCTCTTGCTTAATGGGACTAGGGCCATGGCCGGCAAACATGCCACAACCGTATCTGGCGACTCTCAGGCTCCCACCATCTTTGCCCGATGCTCAACGATCTCATTCATGCTCAGCCAGCGAGTCTGCCAGAGACCATGAACATGCGCGAGCACGACATGTCAGGCAGGCTGGGCTGTACCACCTCACTTGCTCGTGGAGCACCACGGAGGCTCTGCAACCGAGTGCTTCCTGCGAAACACTAGCCGCCATTGGATGCCCAATTGCTCGTAGCACGGGCTGCTGTCTTGCAAGAAGCCACTCGGCACAGTCTCACGAAGCCATGCTGCTAGGATCTGCGAGACCAGACGCAATCTTGTTTTAACCCTTCAGCGAGGCAGTTGCAAAATCAACGCCGGCGTGAGTGTCAGTCCTCGGCCAAAAGTGGGAACTCATGCCGGAAGGGTATCAAAAGGCATGCCAGTACAAGGGTGCGACATCAAACGCTGCGAAAGATCAAAGCAATGATGCAGATTTGGGAAATAGGAACCACAAGACTCTCAGGCAATGCTTGTGCAGCAAATGCACGCATTAATTGCAACATGGCACCATGCTACAACTAGGCCCACATTCTGTAAGCTTGAAGAAGCTTCATCTGCTCCAGATGCGACCGTTTGTAGCGTTTCAGATGCTGGCAGTTGCCAAGAAAGTTACAACAACAGCATTTCTGGATCTCTCTCAAGGCCTCCAAGTGCTAATTCGGCTTCGTTGCTTCGAGGATTTCTTGATGCTAACCCCCTTGTGGCCCGTCTCCGCTGCTGTCAACTGTTGACCACATGGCCTCCTTGTTGAGACAAGTTGCCACTCACCGCTGCGCGTTCGACCCACTGCAGCTGCCACGCGACAGCCCGCAGGCAGCGCGGACGAAGGGCAGCCCAGTCCACCCTGAAAATTCCGAAGCCCAGCTTCGGCTTCTCGGCTTGCAAAGGCACAAGGCTTTGGACTTCAACGCCTCGACGAGAGCCGCCAAATCCCCGGTGATCTCGCCAGCAATTGCCACGGCTGCCATCGCGGCTTCCGGCAGTTGGGCCGCCCAGGCCTTCCAGCAGTTCAAACAGAAAACAGAGGAATCGCAAGGGCTGCAATGGCACTGGAAGTGGCAACAGCGGTGTGGTGACCTTTGCGTCTCCAGCTTGCATGGCATCCGAGGGGAAACTTCTCACTTCCGCACCACCTACCAGCGTTTGTCAGCTCTCTACCTGTGTGCCCTGCCCCAACATCACACACACACACACACACAACAAACCGAAACTTCGCTTGACCCGACATCATGGCAAGGGGCTAGGAGTGATGACAGCAGCATGGATCCCCTGAGCATCAGTCTCCAAGAGCGCATCAGTTCCGAAGGTCAGCAAAACCTGGCCAGGCAACGGGGCTCTCTGGCTTTCACTTGGGAAGCTGCCATCAACTCGACTCTGCGAGTCTCAAGCCACGCGGCCTGAGGCCCACTGGACAACCTTTCATGGCATCCCCAAGATGCAGCAACATCTGGAGTGTCGAATTGTTGCCCCTCGCAAATGGCGCCCGACAGCTCTTAGCCAGGTGGCCAACTACAGGAAGCCGTCAGCCGCTTCTCTGTCGGCCAATCTACGGGTGCCACCCACCAGCCATCACCTCAAAATGCTTGAAAACACAACAAAACCACAACAATCACATATCCACAAGTCTGCTCCGTTCAGAGCACACAACAAAGCTCAACATGCTGCAAGGCTCGTCGTCTCCAACTCGAATTGCTTGCATCCGCAGGCACATCCTGCAAAGTTGCAATACAGGGGCAGTCCGCACAGGCTCGGCTGAAGCGGCTGACGTGCAGGCCTTACCCACCGACCGGATCACCGTGTGGGCAAGATCTTTCTCGGCGAGGCCCGCGGCAAGATCCTGATAGGCCTCACGACACGGGGGATCGCTGGGGCCTCTGCTGCGACGACACTCTCCCGTGCCTCCTCCCAGAGCTCGAGCGCGGCGCGCGTCACCTCAAGAAACATAGCGCGGATATCTTGGGCGACTGACTGAAACTGGTTGACGACTGCGTGGTGCCGGGCTGACCCACACTATGGCCACGCCTTCTGTGCACCCTGTATGGCACTGGGTGGCACAAAGATTTCTTCGCCCAGGACCCGCCGCCACTCTTCTTTGGGGGTCGCATCCTGGCCATGCTGAGGTTCACAGGGCACTTATTAGTAACCCATTAGAAATGTAGTTAATAAGCCCCTTAAGTACCCTAATAGGGCTTTAATTGGGGTGGTAAGTACAGTTACAATTGGGTTATTAAGTACCATGAACCTCCAAGTGCTACTCAAACGCCACGTGACAAGGAAGGAGCTGCAGCACATTTCTGCATGGGTCCTCCAAGTCACCAGCCGTTGCCACATGGTCACTTTGCGGCGACGGCGCACATTTCTCCCATCCAAGCACCCTGTGTATCCTGCCGTCTGGACCTTGACAATAACGCAGCTTCCACTGTGCTGGCGCGCCGCTCAGTTTGCCAAGGCCCGGACCACAGATGATGCCCGAGCGGTCTGCCTCCCGTTCTATTGCATCTGGCTCCTCCACCAACAACATTCGAAAGAGCGGCTCGTAATCCGAAAAACAAATAATCTCTCAGGCCCTCCTTGAGCACCCACGCTCGATAGCCATTGAACTTGGTGAGCACTTCCTCCAACCACTCCTCGAGTTTCGGAGAGACAAAAAGAATCAGGCCAACAACAAGCCTCGAGACTCGCCGACCGGTGACATCCTAATAATGGTAATAAGAATAATAACACTACTAATAGCAATAATGGTACTAATAGTAAGAATAGTACTAATAGTAAGAATAGTACTAATAGTAATAATAGTAATTACAGACTGCCTCCTCGCTGTACGCCGCATAAGCAGGTTCCACAAGTCGAGCCCATGGTTTCGGGTCACTCGAGTAGTGGAAGATCTTCACCTTCTCAGGACCTCAAACAGATTACAGGCCATATTTGTGCTCCAAAACTCGGGTCTTAAGCATATTTACGTTTTCGAGGCTTCCGGAAACTACTTGTTTGAAGAGTAGTTCTTCAGGAGTTATCGAGTCTTGGGTTTTGTTGGTGAAGACATGTTCAGGCTTTGGGCTTGCACGCCCTCAAGACCCCACATCGAAACCGGAAAGACCCGACAACCCTAAGTCCCGAACCCTAAACCCTAAACCCTAACCCTAAACCCTAAACCCTAAACCCTAAACCGTGGTCAATCGGTTTTGGCTTGGTGCAGCGCTGTCCGGGCTTTTAGCCTTGCACTGCTGTAGGATTTTTGGGGAAGACATGTTCAGGTTTTGGGCTTGCAATGTCTGGGTTTGGGGTTTGGGAGAGTTGGGCTTAAGGGGGAACAGGGCTTCGGGCTTGCAGTGGGATGTCTGGGCCTGGGGTATGGGAGAGTGTTTAAGGGGGAGCAGGGTTTTGGTGCACGGCTGTAGGATCTTGGGGAGGGTGTTTTGAGGTTTTGGGCTTGCACGGTCTGGGTTTCGGGTTTTGGGCTGCTGGAGATTAACGACATGAACGTTATCATCCCCCCCCCCCTCCCCCCCTCCCCCCCTCCCCCCCTCCCCCCCTCCCCCCCTCTCTTTCCCCCTTCCCCCCCCCACTCCCTCCCCACCTAAACCCTCAAAAAAACCCTCGGGCACTTCGAGGCCGATCCACAAAGCACAAGCCAAGCAGCCTGAGACACGAAACGCAAAAAAACCTGCGAAAAAACACAAACCGAAGAAGCAGAGGCCAGGAAAACACAAAGTCGAAACGGCGAAAACACGAAAAATCACCAAAGCCATAAAATGCAAACAAACACACCCAAAAGCAAAAAGCAAAGTGCAAAACGTGCAAAAACCCAGGGAAACGGACACATGGAGTCAAGAAATCAAGAAAGGAAAAAAGACGGAAGTGTAAAACGCAGGTCAAATCACGTGCTAGGAAAAGTGACGCAAGTGTCGCAAATACCGAGCGAAAACACCCAAAAAACGAAGATTTACAGCGGCCGCATACACGCCGCATTCCAACTACAAGTCGCCGTGCTCTCTTCATGCTGTAAATGCCCGTGCTGCTATTGTAACGCGCCAAATGGCATCCCAAGAACCCGGATCGGTCCGATGAGTCCACGCAGTCCGGGTTCAAGGCCTGAGCACAGCTTGCCATCGCACTGGGTTCTTCTCATCAACAAGTTACATGCAAACTGGCCGCATAGTACATCTGGTGGAGCTGAAAGTTGTATGCGACACTGATGTGGGTCCAGCTGCCCGCGTAATATCCTTGGCTGTCACTACAAGGTTGCACCTGCAACCAGCAAAAAAAAGTCAGACAGCATCGACATTGCGGCAACGTGCGCAACTGCTTTTCAAAAAAATGGGTGGAGGTTCACCTGCTGCTGGGCTTCTCGACAAATAGTCCTGTTCTGGCCCGTTTCCTCGTATGTGCTCTGGGTGCCTCTCATCGGCAGCCTGCACTTCGCCGCACTTCTTGTTAAGGTTTATGGTTTAGGGTTTATGGTTTAGGGCTAGGGTTTATGGGTTAGGGTTCAGGGTTCAGGGTTCAGGGTTCAGGGTTTAGGGTTTAGGGCTTAGGGCTTAGGGTTAAGGGTTTAGGGTTTAGGGTTTAGGGTTTAGGGTTTCTTGAGCTTCAACATGTGGCAGAACCCGCGCACAGGCAGCTGCACCTCGGCCAGACAGTGTGCCAACGTCTCCAGGCTGGGCTTCAGCAGCATGACGCCAGCATTGATGCCGCCCCTCAGCTCCCCCATAAAAATATTTCAATGTGTATTCCTTATTGGTTTAAGTACCCTTAAAAATGTAAAGTGTTACCCAACTATGACAAAGCAAGACCTTCCATAGAACCCAAGGCACGACTGGCCCCAGCCCCAGGGTCCAGGTTTGGCCCCGCCAAAGAAAAAACTTCCTCAGACTCAAGGCTGCTCAATTGCTCGTGTCCCTGATCTCTGGGTGGCCCTTGGCCTTAGCCTAAACCCTTTTTTGCTGGACTGCAGGAGCCAATCACCCTAAACCCGAAACCTTAAACCCTAAACCCTAAACCCTGAGACTTCGCCCTGCATCCCAGACACCATTGACGCGCTCACCGTGGGCGTAGCCACTCCAAGGCCCACGGCCCATCGCAGCTGGAGCTTCCAAGTCGAAGAGCTCGTCAATGTTACTGCAGACCTCGTGTGGGGTTTAGGGTTTAGGGTTTAGGGTTTAGGGTTTAGGGTTTAGGGTTTAGGGTTTAGGGTTTAGGGTTTAGGGTTTAGGGTTTAGGGTTAGGGTTTAGGGTTTCGGGAACCACCTAACTTGCCCAAGGTCTTGAAGACATGCCTCAAGCCTGCAGCGACACCCACGCGCGCATACATGCGCGCACGCATATGCTCTAGCCATCTCTGGCGGCAAGGCTCCAGAAGGTCTGCATCCATCAGCAAGACTTTGTCATACTCCACCAGGCTGAAAACCCTGACAGGTGCCATGCTATGTGACCAGCACGGAAAACTACGTCAATCTTTACCCTAAACCCTTTTGCATCCGGACTCCCGTGGGTGCTGCCAGAAACTGCCCAAGCATCAGGCTTCCAGTACCCTAAACCCTAAACCCGAAACCCTTTTGCAACTGGACTCCTTGCACCCTAAACCCTAAACCCTAAACCCTAAAGCGCTCAAATTCTTCTGCTCTTGGGGCATGTCCAAAGCATCTTCGGGCGCCTCAGCTTGGTGAACCTGAGTGCAGGGTGGCGATGGGTGGATCAGGGCGGCCGGGATTTTGTTGCCGAGGCCCTGCGATTCTGCGAGTTCTCCTAACAGCCCTCTTAAGGAAGCACAACTCGAGCATTGTGCCACATGTTCCAAAGCCGGTTCATGATAGTTGGCGGCTGAGCAGGTTCTGGAAGGGGTTTCACCAACACCCTGTCTTCACAAGGCTGACGGTTGCGGTACTTCCCTAAACCCTAGACCCTAAACCGTAAACCCTAAGCTTGATGAGCACTGCCTGACAAAGGCCATTTTCCCAATCCTCCGGATGCAAGCCAAGATGTGTCGAGGCCATGTAATTGGCGTGAGATGCTGGAAATTTCGGCGGGGGCTTACTTAGTTATTCAAGAGGATGCCATCGTACTTCGTCTGGAACCACTTCATGCCATCTTCCTTCCTCAGCCGATGTGACGCGCCCACCCTGCCCCTTCGAAGCTTGCGATACTGAACTCTGCCTCCGGGACGGGAGAGGTGCACGTAGAAGTCCATGCCGTAGATGCCCGTTCCTAGTTCATGGTTGGGATAGTATTAAAAGCAAAAAAATATATATATATATATATATATATATATATATATATATATATATATATATATATTCCTTATCGGGTTTAAGCACCCTTAAAAATGTAAAATGTTACCCAACTATGACAAAGGTTCCCGGATCGTACTTGATGCCAAGGTCGATGTGCTCGGTGATGCCGAACCCGAAGCTGCCGTTTCTTGCAAAGTTCTTCTTTCTCAGCTCGTACTCTTTGACCTTCAATCCTTGGGAGCCCAGTAACCATACCGTAATACTAGAATAATGGTTTGGGTTGCTTACTTTACAAGGGAGCCTTGAATCAAAACAAGGGCAAAAGGGTACCACTGGGCTACCAAGAAATCCCTTCTCAAGGATCTCCTCGGCCTTCTCGCCCCGAACTGTGACATGGCAAGCGATCTTCTCGTTGCGCCGGACGCTCCACTGGCGGATCGTCATGCGCGCCTTTGAGAACACGGGCTGCTGCTCCGTCAGCTGTTCCAGAACCTTTGCGGCGCGCGTCAGGCGGTCGCCACTCTCACCCGTGCTGATGTTCAACACAAGCTTCTCGACCCTGATCTGGCGCATCGGATTCTCGGACTTGTCCGCCATGATCAGCTCCCAGAGGATCAGGAGGCCGAGCACCCTACTTGGCCCTACTGAGCCGCAAATGGCCACCCGATGGGGGAACTCAGAGGCTCCAAAAGACAATCCTGCGAGGCCCCCCCTGGCTGGGAAGTTCCCCGAAAGACGCGGAGCAGTTTGGGCAGGCAATCAGACTGCACTGCTGGCGAGCAGCACGTCCGCGAAGCGTCCAGTGATGCAATGCCGCTGATAAAGTGTCGAAACTGCTTCCACATATTCCACCTCAGTTTCCAGCCTTGACATTTCAAGACTGCGCCACTCCCAGCTCGCTCACAAAACTCTCTCGTGCCGACGGCCAATGACGTGTGTGTTCTTTGCATAGCCTCTTGCTGCCAACCTCACACTTGACGGACTTCAGGGCGATCAGGAAACCCAAACAAAAGGGCACAAGCTGCCAAGCTGCCTGACGCGGGAGCCACCCTGCCTTCTCCAATAGCCGGACCGCCTCGCGCAAAAGCCCCCCTAAACCCTAAACATACACGCTAAACCCTAAACCAGCTACAAGACGCAGGCAGACTAGGCGACGGCCCACCTCTTCCGGAACATCATCGGTATGAAGAGCAACCAGGTCATGTCGACTTCCAGACCTTCATAGGGTTTGGGGTTTAGGGTTTAGGGCTTAGGGTTTAGGGTTTGGGGTTTAGAGCAGTCCCATGGAAGATCTGAAACTCCATGGCCGCTCCTCCTCAAAGAGTGGGCCAGCACCATTGCTCCCAGAACATACTCGGCATTGCGACCCCAAAGGCAAACCACGTAGGCAAACCTTAGACGGAAATGCGGGCATGTCACTCAGGCCGCATCTTGGTTCGGCATGGTACTGATAATGCATGTCTGAAGGTCCTTCCAGGTGCAAACTGATGGCACCTTCGTTGCAAGCTTCCCCAATTGAGTTGCCGAGCAACCGCCCATCAGTGCTCTTCGCATCCTGGCTGCAAAGCGATTGCGTGATTGCATGGTGTTCAGGGTGCAACTGTACGGGCCACCACTCGCTTAGCATGTGCTATTTTGCGGCAACCGTGTGGCAACTCCGCCCAGAGCCACAGCAGATAAACAATATGAACGACAGCACTTGGATACAAGATCGGCGAGCTGCTGTCCTTGCGAAGCTTCTTGGAAGCTGTCGGCGGATCCGAGAGAGCCAATGACAATGGCCGCTTGCAGCACGTGCAAAACCCTGTCCAGGTCACCTGGGTCTTACAGGAGCCCTATAAATACCCATAAACTCCTATAAACTCCAATAAACTCCTAGAAAATTCCTACAAATCCTAGACAGACCTTTTTTTCTTACATGCACCCTCCAGGCCATCCTCTCCAAAAGCCCGGGCCTGATCGGACGCAGGCCTGGAGGCCTCGCCCAGCTCTTGCTGCTCAAAGCTTCTCTTCTGGTCCTGCCAAGTGGGACCTGCAAAGAAGGGCGCGATCTGACGCATTGCCATACCCTCAACCCTAAACCCTAAACCCTTAATTTTTGCTAAGCCCTAAACCCTAAACCCTAAACCCTAAACCCTAAACCCTAAACCCTAAACCCTAAACCCTAAACCCTAAACCCTAAACCCTAAACCCTAGTCTATGCCTGGCTGGGCCCAGTGGACCGCCGCTCCATCACATGGAGAAGTAATCTGCAGCCAGCTCGAAGATAGTCCAGAGACCGCACCAGCCCCACGACCTGATTGACATCATGCAAGGGTCAACAAATTGGTTGACCTTGAATGTTAATAATCGAAAAACTGTATTAACAATATTCAAAATAATCATAATCATCATCATCATCATAATCATAACCATAATCATCATAATAATCATCATCATCATCATAATGAAGCCTTTGGAGCACCACAGGGCGATCCAAGTAGCGCCAAAGCCGGCGCACCGAATGCAGTACGCGGATAAAGCCGCCGCAGCTGTGCGAGCCGCCACCCGGGTCTTGCACGCCCATGCCGCTCCCGTAACTGATGTACATGATGACACTACTTCTTAAAAATAAAAGTATAATAACAATAATAATAACAATACTAACAATAATAACAATAATAACAAGAATAACAATAATAACAACAATAACAATAATAAAGCAATTTAGAGTCATACAGGAAAATAGCAAAATAAGACTATCAGAATACAGTAATATAGCAAAATATATTATTACGGGTGGCTGTCAAAAATACGATCCCTTTTGGGGTACCCTAGAAACATTATTTTAGTAAGTGCCGTATTGGAATAGGGGTCCAAAAAGGGACCATAATTTTGACAACCACCCAAATGATTGTTACTACTGCTAAATCTGCTGACTGCTGAGGGCATTGGTGGGGTTCAGTGCTTCTCGATACTGTCTCATACTGTCTTGTGGACAGGCACCTCAAACACTGGTGTCTTGTTTGCGCCTGACTGTTTAACATGAAGCTTTGTGCAAACACGTGGAAATCCTCAAGCCAGCCTCACACGTGAGCCATGCCGACACATAGCAAAGTCATGCAAGAGGAGGGCAATGCCGACGCATCATAGAGGCATGTGCAACAAACCCATGTATGCCCATGTATGCCCATGTGCTGGCCGCAGATGTCGGACCTGCCATCGATGCAGCATCGAGGCCTTACAGGGCATTCTGGCTACACAGATGCCGCGTCTCACAAGTGGCCCCTGCATGTGTGCCTCCATGCGAACCTACTGTCCATGAGCTCGTCATCACCTTCCGAAGCTCGGATGGGAAACTCGAAAGCAACTACCGTCCAATGTTGAATGCTTCATCACCTGCGTGTGGCTGTGCAGGAAGCACCTTTACCAAGGGCCGAGGCCTGGTAGAGCAAGAGCCAGCTCAGGCCAGGTACAACGCTAGCATCTCGAGATTCATGTCTGGACGTGTGCTAGGAGTGCGAAAGCCTGGTACTACAGCCTGCACAGGCAAGAAACGGGCAGCACTTCAAATATCATTGTCCAAGGTTGAAGCATCTAATCTAACCGCGGCATGGACATGCAGCACAAACCTTGAGCCAAGAGAAGACCAGGACTGGGGCCAATTCATCAGGGGAGAAGCTCGCAAGAAAGAAAGCACAAAGAAATATTCTATAAATCAAGGGATAAGGAAGTAAATTCGGAGAGCAATTACTCTATACGGAAAGAAGCCACGAAAGATAGAAACACAGAAGAAAGAGAGAATGAATGAATGAAGGAATGAAGGAATGAAGGAATGAAGAGGAAGGAAGGAATGAAGGAATGAAGGAATGAAGGAAGGAAGGAAGGAATGAAGGAAGGAAGGAATGAAGGAATGAAGGAATGAAGGAATGAATGAAGGAAGGAAGGAATGAAGGAAGGAAGGAATGAAGGAATGAAGGAATGAAGGAAGGAAGGAAGGAATGAAGGAAGGAAGGAATGAAGGAATGAAGGAATGAAGGAATGAAGGAATGAAGGAATGAAGGAAGGAAGGAATGAAGGAAGGAATGAAGGAATGAATGAAGGAATGAAGGAAGGAAGGAAGGAATGAAGGAAGGAAGGAATGAATGTGTGAATGTGTGAATGTGCTTTGCAAGGGAGAGCAACGACAAAGCACGTAGGACCGTAGGACAGCGCGAAGCGAAGGAAGATAAGACACATCAAAACGCAGTGATGCGCAGTGTCAAGCATGCAGCGGACTTTTGGCTTCTTCAGCGGCCCCACGCACGGGATGCTGCTGCAGCACGTGCCTGTGCTTGGCGCGCCTCCTGAACACGACGGAGTTCTCGCATCCCCCAAGTCCATACAACTGGCATGTTCTTAGCAGGGAGGGAATGAGGTACCTATGTAATCCCTTAGAGGGTATAAAATGGAAGTACCCCTTGTAATCCCCTTAAAGGGTATAAAAAGGGAACTCCCTACGATTCGGCGCTCCTCCTCTGCAGCAACGACCTCTTTTTGCATGGACTCTGCCCTTTCGTCCGCCGCAACAAGCTCCTGCTTGAGCTTCTGGATGGTACCTGTGTGCCGGTGTGCCCTATCTGCAGCCTAGACTCGCCTAGACAACCGTGCACGCAAGCCAAAGCAGTCAGCCGATGTCAGCTGCAGCTAGAGGACACTCCGCAACATCACGTTGCTGCTGCTCCCTCATCTCACATTCTTTCAAACCTCTGGGCAAGGACTCTCACAAGCGAAACGAAGTGAGGCGAAGCGGGAAGAAAATGGAGCAAGCATGAGCAAATCTAAGAAACGACGAAGGCATGCCGACCGTGAGAGGGCGGAAAGGGCAAAAACCAAAACGAGAGCAAGTAGAAACAGCATCAAGCAAAGGAAACTTGAGAAACCCACCGAGATCTTAAGGCTCTGGCAATCTTGAGCTTCTGATCGTTGACGACGTTCGCTATCCAAGAGACTCTCGCACTTCTCGAATCGCTCTTCCCCTTCGTTCGGAGTGTAGCGATGAGACACAAGTGCTTGGTAGCCAAATAACTGTACCACAATAAGGGCACCCCTCTTTTTTGGGTTGGTGACTGTATAAAAAGGAACCCAGGAAAAAAAAAAAAAAAAAAGAAAACAGAGGGTAAAGGATACCCCACTAACCTACCAAGAGTGCTGAAAACCTCCGAGGCCCCGAGTGCCTGGGCCGCTCTGCCCCTGGAGAGCACGAAGACCTGCTGGCACAGGGTGACTTCTCTAAGTTAGGGTTTAGGGTTAGGGTTTAGGGTTTAGGGTTTAGGGTTTTGGGTTTAGGGTTTAGGGTTTGGGGTTTAGGGTTTAGGGTTTAGGGTTTAGCGTTTAGGGTTTAGGGAGGGACCCCTTGTTGGGGTTACAATAAAAAGGCGGCTTGATATATTTAGGGCACGCAGAAAGGGGACCACAACTTAGTGAACTCACCATATGAGGTAAGGTCATTGGCAAAGTTGACCTGTTCTACCGTCTTGTTGCGTCTGTTCTGTTCTACCTTCCTTTCGGATACCTTTCACGATCCGACACATACAAGCTCCGCCTGCATCTCTGGTGCCCACATCTAAGCCTCCAGCTCGCTTCAACCTCCTCATGCTGGCATCGTTCCTGCCGCAGCGTGGCTTGGCAATGGCGCAGCTCTTCTTCCATGCCTTGTTCCAGAAGCTAGCTGTGCACCATAATTCATTGGACAACAAACATTAATACAGCCCAGCAGCCAGCATCGCGCTGTTCGCGTACTTTGTCCAACCGCTGCTCCTGACATTCCAGCTCCGTGCGAAGACCTGCACTCGGGCAAGTTTGCAGAGCGCGCAAGAACTCCGAAAAAGCCAACGCAGGAAGCATGCAAATTAGCAGATGCCTCAAAACAGTGAAGCAGAACTTTCGGCGAAATTGCCGACTGTAGGGCCGTGACTGTCTTCAGACTTTCGGTAATGCTGCCTCTCCCGCGCCAGCAAGTCTTCACACGTGCGCTCTTCATTCTCCCACGCTCGCAAGCCTTATTTCCAGCTGCGCGCCTCTCTCGAACAAGTTAGCAACTGCGCAATGATAAGGGCCCGGCTTTCTTCAATGTTGGTGCTCTGCGCACACTGCTGCTCCAGGACTGCATTTTGCTGCTGCAAGTGCGCCACCATGTCCTCCAAGCCTCTTCTGTTTTTCCCCAAACAGTTCTACTGTTGGGGTTCTAAATTCGTTTTAAGGAATTGCCGGCACTCTGGTGAGCATTGCCGGGTTCCTGGGCACCATGTCTCCCTTTGTCTCCCTTTGTCTCCCTTCATGTGGGTGGCCTTTGCCGGGTTCCTGGACGTCTTGTCTCCCTTCATTCTCCCTTCATGTGGGTTGCCTTTGCCGGGTGCCTGGACGTCTTGTCTCCCTTTGTCTCCTTTGTCTCCCTTTGTCTCCCTTTCTCTCCCTTTGTCTCCCTTCAAGCCTTTGCCGGGTTCCTGGACGTCTTGTCTCCCTTTGTCTCCCTTTGTCTCCCTTTGTCTGCCTTCATGTGGGTGGCCTTTGCCGGGTTCCTGGACGTCTTGTGTCCCTTTGTCTCCCTTTGTCTCCCTTCATGTGGGCGGCCTTTCCTGAGTCCTGGACGTCTTGTCTCCCTTTGTCTCCCTTTGTCTCCCTTCATGTGGGTGGCCGGCTCCTGGACGTCTTGTCTGCCTTTGTCTCCCTTTGTCTCCCTTTGCCTCCCTTTGTCTCCCTTAATGTGGGTGGCCTTTGCCGTGTTCCTGGACGTCTTGTCTCCCTTTGTCTCCATTTGTCTCCCTTCATTCTCCCTTCATGTGGGTGGCCTTTGCCGGGTTCCTGGATGTCTTGTCTCCCTTTCTCTCCCTTTGTCTCCCTTTGTCTCCCTTCGTCTCCCTTTTGTCTCCCTTCATGTGGGTCCTTTGCGGGGTTCCTGGACGTCTTGTCTCCCTTTGTCTCCCTTTGCTTTCCTTTGTCTCCCTTTGTTTCCCTTTCTCCCTTTGTCTCCCTTCATGTGGGTGGCCTTTGCCGGGTTCCTGGATGTCTTGGCTCCCTTTGTCTCCCTTTGTCTCCCTTCATCTCCCTTCATGTGGTTGGCTCTTGCCGGGTTCCTCGCGTGCGGTGACTCACGTGCAGTGACTCCTGGTTTGCAACACACCCTTAGGTTCCTGCGTTGTCAATTGTTGCCCCAGCTGATTTACGTGCGGTGGCTCGCGCGCGGTGGCTCGCGCGCGGTGGCTCGCGTGCGGTGGCTCGCGTGCGGTGGCTCGCGTGCGGTGGCTCGCGCGCGGTGGCTCGCGCGCGGTGGCTCGCGTGCGGTGGCTCGCGTGCGGTGGCTCGCGTGCGGTGGCTCGCGTTCGCTGGCTCGTGTGCGGTGGCTTGCGTGCGGTGGCTGCGCGGTGGCTCGTGAAACTCCGTAGAGGGTTCTGATGTCTGGCTGGAACAAACTTTTAGGTTCCTGCGTTGTCGGCTGTTGCCCCAGCCAAGTTAGGTGCGGTGGCTCGCGTGTAGTATGAAGGAACCTCACTTTACATGTGTAACTTCCTTCTACTGTTTGGGGTCTTCGGTGGTGTAATTCTTCTTCTTCTTCTTCTTCTTCTTCTTCTTCTTCTTCTTCTTCTTCTTCTTCTTCTTCTTCTTCTTCTTCTTCTTCTTCTTCTTCTTCTTTCTTCTTCTTCTTCTTCTTCTTCTTCTTCTTCTTCTTCTTCTTCTTCTTCTTCTTCTTCTTCTTTCTTCTTCTTCTTCTTCTTCTTCTTCTTCTTCTTCTTCTTCTTCTTGTTCTTCTGCTTGTTCTCCTTCTTCCCCTTTTCCATTTTTTTCTTTTCCCTCCATCTCCATCTTTTCTTTCTTTCTTTCTTTGGGGCATGGAGGGGAACCCTCCGCGCGATTGCGCGCCCCGGTCCTGCATTGTCTCTGTGCTTTACTAGCACCCACATGCGGCGCATTGGCCATGCAGCGCGTCACGTATCCGGGGCCTGTTGCCCCCTCAGCCTTTCACAGCTGGCCCCTGTTATCGGCCCCCTATTCGGGCCTCTCTTACTGCGGGCCTAGATACCATCTCTCTCTCTCTCTCTCTGCACGCTTGGCCCCTCCCCAAAGAGAAGCCGCCCCCAGGGGCGCACGAAGTCCCAAGTCTGGTTGGTTTGCGGTTAACGCGTGTTTCACGGCCCGCTTTAGGCAGAAACTGGGAGCTTTGCTTGTGAACCCATCAAATACGTGTACAAGCAGTCAGGGTCGGGGTTCCAAAGTCAAGCATGAGAAAACTATAGCTGCTGTTCCCCCCTCTGTGCTCCCCGCTGCAAAGTCCTATTCAGCCGCTACTGGCCCCCTCATGCGTTCTTCCTCTCCCGAGTCCACCTTTGGTAGAGGGGATCGTCGTCGCTGTAGCTGCCTTTTCGTGGTGTGCCCCTTTTCTGAACGGGTGTCTGCTGTGGAGAATTCCTGGTCACGTCGGTCGAGGGTGCAAAGGAGCTTCGTGTCTCTCTCTCTGTCTCGCTCTCTCTCTCTCCCTTCCCATCGACGCGGGCAGTGGAACAACGCCCACCCCCTGCCATCTCATGCCACAGTACTGAATGTTACAACCGACGTAAAGCCATAACCGACCAAACCCGATAAACTTCTATGAGCCCATACAAGCCGATTCAAGTCGACAAACCAGCACAAGCCGATCGAAACCGATGAACCAGTATGCCCGTGAGCCCAAAGGCCTTCCAGTTGACGGTTGTCCTCGGATGCCCAAAGCACAAGTGTGGCCTCTTTTTGATGGCGAGTTTACATGACCCATGCATCAATTAAACGTCCAAAGGCAGCCAAATGCAGCCTGGCCACTCCGGTGGATTGCGCAGCTGCTTTACGTCCAAATCCTGGACTTGCACAGGGTGCAGCATGAACCCTATGACCCATGCTGAAGTGCGGCTCCGCATTGTGGACGACAAAACCTGCTGCACTCCAACTTAAGCGAGCGGCTTGAATCTTGCGAACTTATGGCTAACTCTTTTCCCAACTGCGCCATTCTGGCTTCGGCGGTGAACAACTGGGAACTCCTCAGAACAGAACGATACCAGGATCTGCGGACTCGCACGTTCACATGACTCAGTGCGCATGAGAGGTCTGTGCAAACAAGAAACATTTCTGCATGGGCCGTCGCACGCTGCTGGTCCAACAGACGATGCAAACGTTCATGACGCTGCAGAACTTGGACGACATGGCCACGGCCACGCCACTCCTTACATGGGGAGGTCTGCTGCTGCATGCCTTGCCCAAGCTGCGCATCGCCGCATGCACAGGGCCGCACGGCCCATTCCAATGCCGATCGGCCATCACCGTCCAGTGTGCAAACTTCTGCCTCGGCCACAAGGATTAAGTACTAAAGCCATGTGTTAATGTGCAGAGCATCCGTTCATCGCTAGCACGCCTATGGGAGAGCACATCACATCAAGCCAAAACCCACATGCCAACTAGCAGCCCTCTTGCTCACGAGCAAATGTGCTGTGAGCACATTCTGCTCATCATCTGAGTAGAAATGACCGACGGCTGGCAAAACAGAGACTTGCATTTTTTTTTTGGTAAATACTGGGTAGCGTGAAATCCCTGTCGGGCTCGAAGGCACAATGTGTTGTATGGAGGGTGTACAGTGCGGAACTGCAACGGCATGTGGAAGTGAACCAATCAGAAGAACTTCTTTGACCCAGACGTTGCCAGCCAGAAGTGTTTCAACCACACCTGCAGGCATCGCTTCTCCGCCATGAAAATCAGTACGATCACATTAGGAACCAAATGAATGCGCAAGCCGACCGCTGCCAAGTTGCTCAAGTGTCCCTGCGCGGCTGCAATATGTAGGGCGGTCCAGTTGCCTGGCAACTCCGGGCTGCGATCGTTCCATGTGGGGAACTTGGAACATGTCAACATACCCAACAAACGTTTCTTAATCCATGCACTGCCACGCCATGTTGCACCTGCGGCACCCCGCTCGTGAATGGCAGCCCGCTTCTCCAACAAATTTCGCACAATCGCAACATCGCCTTGTCTGATCGCAATGCTTCTGCGAACAAAGTCGAGGCCAGGCCCGAATAAGATATTGCATTGCCAAGCTACCAGTGTATGACGCGCGTTGAAGGTCGGTGAACATGAGCGGCAAACATGATGGAATCGTTTGCCGGCCATCCGAACAACAACGACTATTCGGAAACAGTTGTCTGCATGCTGATGCTGAAATGACGCATCTGGAACAGATGAGACCGCCTTGTGGTGTCTAATGTTGCTGCATGTCACAAACTGCCGCCCATTCCACGTCTGCAAGGAAATGACCCTGTTTTAGTATTGCAACTAATGGCCAGCCCTGCGTCGATGGTGTACTTCTGCATGGTCAGCCGTAGGTGAAACTTCGTTGGCCCTTGTGTTTTACATGTTGCTGCGGTTGCGGTAATGGTGCAGGGACTGGACCACTTTGCAAACATGGCATGCCGCTAGAAGGCACCCAAGCCCCAAGCCAGCAAACTCAAGGAACTGTCGCTGCACGTCTGGCGAAGCACTTGTGGAGCAACGTCTTTCTCCGACCATCACTCGGATCCTCGACCAGGCCATTTCGCTTGACATGTACGACAGAAATCGACAGAAATGATTTTGAAGAAACTATTCTTGCCAGCTCGTGCGGAAAGGTGAAGTCAATCGCGAAGCGGTTCTGCGCTACGACGAGGCCACTTGGGGCGACTATGACCGACACCGCGACACGCCCAGCTCCCGCGCACGTGGCCCATACATACCACATGTACCAGATGACCTGTTTCGCTTCCACCCAGTTCGCGAGTACACCTCAGGCCTGCCACCGTCGCTATAACCCCATGTGAGGCCAGGCGCGGAAGGCCTCCCGGCCGGCAAAAAGGCGCACGCCTGGAGCACTTCGGATGGCCTGGAATTGCTGACGCATGCGGCGTCTGTGTTGGCTTAGGAAATCACCCGGCCGGACGTTGTTGCGGACCTTGCTTTGCCCAGAATGACGGCCCTGCGGAGTGCGGCGCATAGCCACGGGCGATCTCTGTCGTCGTTTCCCGGGCGTTGGCCTTCGAACGAAACCACCCGCCCGTTCCAAGACGCGCTCAGGGCGCGGCCCGGGATGGATGTCCTGGTCGCACGGCTGCGGATCACGCTGCTGGATGACCAATCTGAAATAGGAAGCTGTACTTCGAATTGACGACGGTCCTCTTGGATTGACCTTGTTGTTTCCTTGACGACACATTTGTTGCTTCAAGTCCGGCAGCTGGCGATGCCCTGTCAGCTGCGTGTGGCACCATGACCGGATGCGCTGAAACATTCACTGTTAGCCAGAGTTTGCCGTGAAGGCGGGGCACGGGTAGCCACCAATGTTTCTGCGCGACATGAATGTTGATGTGCCACTCGCGGACTCTCGCCGCATAGAGGTGCTGGCGAACGTACTGCCGTTATGGCAGGGAGCCCAGGCGGCGGTGGACACCACTTTCGTCAGCCCCGTTGGCCGGGACGGCGCCGCGCGGGCGGGCGCGGACCGCGTGTCGGGCAAAGCGGCGGCGGACGCTGCACGCCGGAAACGCCAAACCACGTATCCGGAGCTGTTGGCCGCCCGTAGGTGTCGCCTGGTCGTGCTCGCGGTCGAGGTGGGCGAGCGCTTTGGCGCCGAAATGGCGGATTTCCTCCGCCGTTTGGCCGCCTCCAAAGCGCGGACTGCGCCACCGTGGCTCCGGGCCCCGGCCCGGCAGGCGGCTGGTCACCGCTGGACAGGCATGCTGGCCGTCGCAGCGCAGCGCGCTCTCGCCCTGTCCCTCCTGGACTAATTTGGGCTATTGGCGAACTACCTAACACGCCCGCCTTGGGGCACGCGGCCCTGTGATCCCCTATATAAGGTGTCCAGGGTCCCACCACAACGACAACGTGTCGGCGTATGGGGCAATGGGAGGCGCAGCCGCCGGAGCAACAGAACGCGCATGCAGTCGGAGGGCATGCGGAATTCCGGGGCGGTAGGGAGCACGGTGAGGGCGCGGGAGCCGCCAGGGCCCGCCTGGGATAGCAGCAGCGCGCGCGAAGCCTGGTCAAGGTCAGAAAGGAGGCTGTCGCACGCTGCGGCATCCAGGCAGGCCGTGGCCACCAAAGCTGCGAGCCGCCTGGCCCTGGGGGCGGCGGTCGTGCAGCAGTTGAGGCCACGACGGTGCATCAAACCCCGCCCGTCTCAAACAAGATTCCGCGTGCAGTGCCGCGGATACGCTTGGGGCAATGCCACACCAGTCCGTGTTTCCGACCGGGAGGCCTCAGCCTGGCGAAGCAACTCCGCCACAATGTCCGCCCAAAAAGCCCAATGCGCCGCGAAGCGCGTGGTCTCGGCAGAGCGCAAGCCCAGACCACCCAGCTGCAGCGGTAGCTGAGCCCGGCGAGTGGCATTGGCCTCCCACAGCGGCGGGCCGCCGTTGGCCAGGACCTCATGCAGGCAGGCGAGGACCGCCTCATCGTGCTTATGGGCGAACGCTGCTGTGTAGGTGGGCGGGAGAGCGCGGAGTACATAATGGCAACGGGGAGCCGCGCACATGAGGAGCAACAACCACGCAACCTGCAGATCCGGGACTGAGGGGAGTTTGGACAACAGCGTTTTGTGGGCTTCCAATTTGGATTGCAAGTGGGCCTCCACAAACGCGTGGCTCCCGAGCGGCGTGCCCAGCACCACCATGCCTTGCTGTTCGGCCGGGCGAATCCAATCGCCCACCCATGCGGGAGGGCGGTCCGGATCAACGGGCACCTCGTCCGCAAAGCCCGCCGGCTCGACACCCCCGGAGTTCCAACCCGCATCTTACCCAAGTGCACATCAATGTTGGCGTGTGAGGCCAAAGCCGCACGCAAGGCCCTGAATGTGGGGCGGCGCGTTCTGCCGTGGGGCAGGAAATGTATGTGTCCTCCAAGAATGCAAACAGGTCTTCTCCTGGTTCAAAGGAGGAGTGTGCGGCCCGCAACGCCTGATGGATGCCCACGGCGAACAAGCCGGGCATGAGCGGGTCCCCCTGCTCGCCGCTTTTCGACTGCACGACGGAATGAACAGCGCCCGCCGCATCGTAAAACAAGTACTCGCTATCGCCACAGTAAAAAAGGCGGACCAGAGGGATGAGGGGCACCAAGGCTGGGCATGCAAAGAGGCTCGTGTCGGTGGCTGCACGGAGTGCTCGCGCATACAGGTACGGGGCGCATGCCTCCTGCAAGGGCGTGGAGAACTGCTGAGCCAACGCGTGACACCAAGCGGCGGAAGACGTCGCCCATCACCAGGGCGCGAATGCCCCCGCCAGGCTTGAGCAGCGCCACCATGCGCCCCAAGGCACGTCCGCCTGAGCCAGACGGTGCGCGGCAGCAACGAGGAGGTCGCAACAGTCTTCATCGTCAAGTCATGCAAAGTCGCTAGCGTTTCCAACGTGGCCGGGGCGAGGGGGGCGGCCTCCAATGCAGAACTGGCGGCCGACAATTCCCCCAGATGCGCCAGGGCCGCCGCCCGCTCCGCACGGCGATCGTCGTCCTGTTGTTCGGGGCGAGCTGGCGAGCCGTGCCGCGGTTGCGAGGGCACCGCCGCTGCCGCTTGCGCAGCCTCCGCCAATAAGTCGCCCCAACGTTGCTGTCCCAACAAGGTGACCCGCCGCGCAAGTTCTGCCGGCGGCAGGGTGGTCTGGCCCCGCGACCGATACAACAACATCCGAGGCCCCAAGAGGAAGAGACCCAGCCTGCACAGACTGCGCATCGGGCCCGTCGCGGATCAGCTCCAAGCACACTTGCCGGAGTGCCCCACGCACAACGCGCGGCGGGGGCTGAAGGGTGAACACCCTCTAGGCCAGCACGGCTCGCAAGTCGACATCGCGCCAATACGTGGCCGGGCAAGCACGCCCGCGGTCCGCAGCCGGCTCGGGCAGCGGCGCAGGACTTGGGGTGAAGGTTTGCTGCGCCTCGCAGCTGTGTTGGTGTCCACGACCACGCCGGCCTCGCCCTCGGCCTCGGCGGCCGCGACCCCTTTGCAATCTGCTCGCCCGCTCGGCGGCGTCAGCGAGGTAAGCCTCGGCTGTTGCCGCCTCTTCACACGCCTCAGGGCCGGTTGGCACAGCGTCTGGCCGCCAGCGTGCCGGCGGCCTCAACCGCGAGAGCTTGGCCCCCAAACGCTTGAAGAAAAGCAGATTGGGCAACCGCAAGCAAGTAACCGGCAGGGCCCGCCGTGGTGGCGACAGCTTGTTGCAGGGATACTGTCTGGCCATGCAAAGCTGCCAACTCTGAGCACACTGTGTCGACGTTTTGGCCAGTGTCCTCCTCCGTCAACGCAATTGCATGATATTGCATGCACAAAAGCAACAAGTTCACACGTGGCGATCGGCGGGCATCATCAGCAGACAACATGCCCGCCGCGCGCAACAAGAGTGGCACAAAGAACCAACAGTTGCGAGCCGGCACTGCCGCCTGGTGGCAGGGGCCGTCATGAGGCATGCTCGGAAGTGGGGCTGAAGAGTCCAGGACCGTCGGCGCGCACGCAGTGTCCTCGCGGTCGGAATCCGTCAGTGCATCCGGCGACGGGGGGGTCATGCCCAAAACGGGACTCTCACTGTCAGCACAATCCCGGAAACCCTCCGACTCACTGAGGCCACCCCCGCCAGAAGGGGGGCTCGAGGGTCTTCCAATCCCTGGGTGGAGCGCCTCGCCCACTCGCTGACCGATGAAGAAGTTGCAGTCGGCGGCGGCGCCGTAGACGACGTGTCCCGTGCTGCATGGCGGCGGGTGCGGAGCATCTGCAGAAGCGTTTGGCATGAACCAATGCATGTGGCAACAGTGTCGTGCGCAAACCTTTTTTTTTTCCACGCACCTTTTCCTCGCGTCAGTGTTCACGATCCCTGTGCACGGAATCGGCAGGCTGCTCGGGCCGCGGTGTGTCAAGCACGCAAGGGCAACCTGGACGGCTGCTCAGCCTCGGCGAGCTCCAGGACCCAGCCAAGCGGCGTGCCCTCGTCTCCGGTTGGCTGCGCCGGCGCGCGCCAGCAACCGCCCAACAGCGTCGAGGCCAAGGCGCGCTGCAACGCGCAACCCAGCTGCCCCCACCACCGGCGTTCCCACCCGGAGCGGGCAGCAGCTCGCAGCGCCCTCGGCGCGCGCAGGGAGCGCTGTTGCGCGAGGTCGCGGACGAGGTCGTGCGCCTCTTGCCCCCATCGTCCGCCGACCTCCGCAGCCAGGACGACGAGGCGTTGCGGGCCCGGACCGGCTAGTTCGGGGTAGCGCCGTTGTTTGCGCCGCCTCGCGACGTCGATGGCAGCCCCATCCCGATCTGAGGAGCCGGTCTGCGGGTGTCCGTCTGCGCGCAGCGGCGAAACCAGGGTCACATCGCAGCAGAGTGCCTCGCCGCGCCGAGACGCGCCATAAATGACGAGGTCAAGTCGGCGCCGGTCATCTGGGGCGACGCCCGCTGCGGTGGTCCGCGCTAGCCATTGTTGGGGGACCACCCGCCCTTCGGCGGCGACGACCTCCCGCGCTACTCGGACCCACGCTCGCTCGAGTATGGGAGCGCGCCGGGCCAGCAGCCCACTCCGGGCGCAGGCGGCGCGATGGTCGCCCAGCTGGTCCACCACGGCTCGGCACCCTGGCTCGCCATGTCCTCCGCAACGGGAAGATGCCATGGGTAGCGGCAAGCGAAGGCGTCGCCGGAGAGCGACTTGCATGTCCAGCGGCAGAAGCTGCGTGCCCGTGGGGATGGCTCGCAACCACTCGCCGGCATGCGCGCCCGCCTGGGAGCGCAGCAGTGCTCGGGAACTTGGCGACAAGCTGCAGAGGAGGCGCTCGCGGTAGGATTTGTTGAGTACGCAAGCTGCCGGTTTCTGCCAGCCATGTGGCCAACTTCCAGGCTCTGAAGGCTCAGCGTGTGCAGGCGGCGGCCGCGCCCCGTGGAGCAAGGCATCCCACTCCGGGCGCGCTCTCCATCCTTCGGCGAGCAGCCGGTCACCCGCTTCCGCAGCTGCCCGCAGGCACGGCGCAGTCGACCCGCCGCCAAGAGCGAGTTCTTGCGCATATCGGCGGGCAACCTCCGGGCGTCTTTGCAGCATCACCGGGAGCGCGTCCGCCCAAGCCGCCCAATAGGCCGCTGGAGCTAGTCGCTCCGCGCTCGCGAGACCGAGGCCACCACATGCGGCAGGGAGGAAGGCGATTTGGCCCGCTGCGGTCCACTCCCGCCCGCTCGCATCCTGCTCCGCTAGAAGGTGGTGGAGCGTTGCCCAAATCGCCCGATCGTTTTCTGCCGCATAGGTGGCCGAGTCCAGCGGCGGCACCGTGCGCAGAGCATGTTGGGCACGCGGGCTGGCACAGTAGAGCAGGAGCAGCCATGCGCTCTGCATATCAGGCAATTCCGGCAGTTCGTGCAGCAAGCGGCGCTCTTCCTCAAGCCTTGCCGCGAGAGTGCGTCGCACGAACTCCGTATGCCCGATCGGCACGCCCAATGCAACAAAGCCGCAAGTTGCCAGTTGCCGGTTCACTGTCACCTCCGCACCAGACTTCGGGTCCGAGCACTGCGATATCGGGCGGGGGCGGCCCGCCACTTGCGCGATAGACCCGAGTCTTCCCGAGATTAGCTGCGACACCAGCCTGCCGCTCGACCGTGCGCGTGACATCATCTAGCGCTGACCGGGCGCGAGCTGGAGTGGTGACGAGGTACAAGTCGTCCAGAAAAGCGGCAAGGAACTCCCCCGGCTGCAATCGCCCTTGCGCCGCAGCTAGGGCATCGTGTTGCGCCAGGGAGTACAGAGCCGGCGCTAACGCATCTCCCTGCTCGCAGCCGTCACCTTGCGAGATCTCGTGGCGCCGGCCCTCGGCGTCCCACCACAGGTACGTGGAGGTGCCGCCGTACCACGCCCGCACATATGGGACGAGGGCTGGAGCGACCTCGCGCAGCTTCTTCAGGAAGGCGGCACGTGAGACCGTGTCATAGGCGCTCCTTCCGTCGAGCGAGACGATGGTGGCGTCGGCATCCAACTCGCTCGCCGCGCGCAGCATCGCTGCCAAGCAATCCGTCCCCGCATGGGCCTGAAGCGCGAACTGGAAGGGCCGCGTGGCGCGGTCGAACGTGTCAGCATACTGTCGCGCCAACGCTCGTGACACCAGTCGGCGTAGCGTGTCTCCAGTCGCGATCCCGCGCACGCCGCCGCCGGGCTTGGAAAGGGCGGTGAGCCGGGACAACGCGAGGGCTTGCAGCACGGCGGCGGGCGCATCAGCATTCGCCAAAAGGGATGCCGCGTGCGCTAGCAAGTCCATCGCCTCCTCGTCCTCCAGCAGCAAGCGATAGTGTTCCACCGCCGCGCCGGACAGGCCAGCAGCGCTGCCACGCTTAGCCGTGCGCAAAGCTTCTCCCAACTCAGCTGCAGTGAGGTGGACACGGTCTGCTGCACGGAAGCTGGCTATGTCGTCCGGCATCGGCTGGCGCGGACGGGGCGGTCGCTTGTCGGGGTCCGAAAGGAGGCGTAACGTAGCCGCATTGCCCGGCGCCAAAGGAGCGCTGGTGAGCGTCTGGCGCGCGCGCGACAACTGACCGCGGCGTACCTGCGCGCAAGCGCGCTCGCGCATCCGCTCCGCATCAGTGCCTGCGGATTGCTGCAGGCGCTGCTCCGGAGACGGCGCCGCTTCCAGCAGTTCGCGCCAGCACCCAGCCTCGAAGGCTCGGATCCGCTCTAATAAGGCGGCGCGGCCAGCTGCACCCGTTGCGTGCGGTCGCGCCAACAAAAGGCGTGGCACCAGCAGGAACAGCTTCCAGGCACGCTCTGCTGTGACACCGGCCGCCGGGTTCGGCGCGTGCAGGCCACGCAGCGCGTGCACGAACGCACGGCGCACGCCAGCAGCGAGAAAGCGTGGGACAGCGCGCATCGTAGGGACCGGTGTGGCAAAAGCGTCCCTCTACTCGACTGTGTCCAGCCATTCCCAGGACGCTCGGGCAACTCGCGCACGCGCGCCCGGCGTCGAGGCGGTCGTAGCTGCGTGGGGGCCCTCGTCGACAATGGCGGAGTCGCTGGACGTGTCGCACGGAGCCGTAGCCGATGGACCACGGCGGCCTGGCCGTTGCCCGCCTCGGCCTCCTGCTGTCGCGCGTCCTCCTGCACAGGCGTTCGCGGCGGGCGAGTTGGCGGGGCTCGGGCATTGTGGGACGCCGGTCTGCTCGCCATCGCTCACGCGGCCCGCACTGCCAGCAGCATGCGGACGCCCTCTTCTGCGTCGGCAACGGCGAGCGCGAGGTCCGTGTCGTCGACGGTGGGACGGCCTGAGTCCGCGCGGCTGCAGCCAAGGGCGCGCCGCCACAGGCCTCCAGAAAAGCCGACTGGGCTGCTGCAGACACAGACCCATCCGGGGCCTGCGCGAGGCGGAGAGCCGTTGCGAGAGGGATGGGGGCGGCAGGGAGCGCGCGCAACGATGCGACGAGCGCAGCGTCCGTCGCGGGAAGGCCCAGAGGCGCCGCGCCCATCTCCTGCGCATCACATTCTGCGACGCCGTGCAGCCGGCGGCGCTGCCTGCAGCGCACCAGCCAGCGTGTCGAACCGCCCTGCTGCGTCGTCCGGCAAAGATTGCCAATCTGTCAAGGCCGGCACGCTCAGGTTGCCAGCCGCAGCGTGCAACAGCGGCACAAACAGCCAGGAATTGCGATCCCCTGGCAGGGCGTCGGGCGGGCGAGCAACCTGCCATCGGGGCAGCGCGGGCTGTGCTGTCGGCGAGGGCGGCGGCGTCCCACGCGCTGCAAGAGGTGCCGGCAAGTTGAACAACTTCGCTCGCCGACCGCCTGCCATAGAGTGGCGGGTCGGCGCGGCGCAAAGAATGAGGTGGCCGTATCCGACCGAGCCCACCAATGCCCTCTACCACGCTTGTTATGTTTAGCTCCTGCACGGTGGCGAGCCGCTCACGAGCTGTGTTGGGCGCAGTAGGCACAGGCGGCGGTGTGGGCAGGCGAGGACGGCCACGGCTGCGGCTGCGGCTGCGGCTGTCTCGGTGTGGAGCCCCCGGCGGTGTGACTGGGCTGGTCTCCGCCATGGTGTCGAGGCCTTGGGCAGGAGGACCACGGTCTTTTGTACGCTCATCAGTTAATCTCCCCCGAGCTGAAGTTATGAGCGAAGGACACAGGTGAAACAAACCGTTTAACAGGCTTGGAGGCATGCAACCCATATGAAGGAAGCGAACACCGGAATCAGCTGCGAGACGCCAATGCCTACATCCCTGGGCTAGCCCAAGAAGTGCTGCTGAGCTGTCACAGCACGGCAAACGAGCCTTGTTCATTGCCAGCACTAGTCTGTTACGTAGCATAATGTTCAGGACGGAGGGCCAAGGTGTAAACAGCATCCGTCGTCTGCAATTGCATAAAGGCGCGAAAAAAAAAAAACGGCGGTGCGGAACACGTGGTTTGGCAAGAAGTGCAGGGAGCCATCACATCAGGCACTGGGAAGAATGACTGCTTTGAGACACTCGTCCCAGAGACCGATGCACGCTACAGCGAAGACAGAGTCGGCAGCATGGAAGATGGAGGCAAGAAGGTGGGGAGGAGGTGTCGAGTTCAAAGCGAAAGTCGAACGGACAAGCAAACGCTAGCAAAACCGCCCATCGAGCCAGCAGCTGCCGAATGCTGCCGAACAGGCAGGCTTTCGGACAGAACATGCTATGCCATTGCGCGCGGGCAGCAAACACACGTACATCCACGGCGGCCGACTTGGCCGAGCAGCCGGACGCCAGTGAAAACGACGAAAGGGCACCCCCAACTCCGCGAACGGGACATGGGCATGCGGATGCATGCGGGCGCGTTTCATAGCGCGGCGTGGGAATTCCTGGACGAAAATTTCCGCTGTCGGGTCCCCACAACGCAGTCTGTGCCTCCCTTCCTGGCACCACGGCGGTGCGCAGCCGCGGCATAGCCGCCAAGCTATGCCAAACTGTCGGCCCTTGCGCGAGTTTGCCGCAAACTCAAGGGCATGTGGCGGTCTCAAATAACATCTGCGACGCGACCTGAAAACGTCTCATACGTCTCCCGTGGCGATGCCGCGCACACCGCCCTGCAATTTGTGCAGCGCTGTAAGGCGGCTGAGAGCGAGCGCCTCTGCCAATGCATCAACGCGGGCGACGCAAATCACGGCGAAGGTGGACAGGTCGAGCGCAACGGCATCGTCCAGCAACAGCTTGTGCACCTCGACAGCGGCGCCAGATAAATAGGCCACCAATCCACGCGACCTGCTTGACAATCAGCGTGAGCTCCTCGTCCGGGCGATGGGCAAGGACCTCGGGCGTCGCGCACGCTCCGGGGGGCGTTGGGCAGGGTCCGCAAGCGCTTGCGGCGATGCAATTCTTGCCACTCCGCGAGCTGGAAGGAAAAGCTCGAGATGCAGCAGCTGAAGGGATTGCCTGCGCGGGCCGGTTTGCAGACTGGGCGTAAAGCACGAGGCGCGGCAGCAAGAGGAACAACTTCCAGGCCCTGAGCACACGCAGCTCCCCAGCCTGCCGAGCGCCGCCTGCACTTCGGTCAATGCTGCGCGCACGCCCGATGTTGTGGCGGCCAGGAACTTGCCAGGTTGAAGGGTTGCGCTGGCCTCGAGAGGCGCATTGTCTTGGACCAGGGCGAAGAACGCAGGGGCCAACGGCCACCATGCAGGCGCCACCTCGCGTAGCTTTTGCTGAGCACCGCGGCGCGGCTGATGCAGTCATACGCGCTTCGACCATCCAAAAAAGCGGGGGGGGCATTGCTGGTTGTTGAGCAAAAAGGGATGAGCGACTGACAAGATTTGCTGCCCAATGAGCTGGGTTGATGCTACATGTGATGATAAGCGATGGAGGGTCAAAAAACTGAGCACATGGAAATGCTCAAAATGGAAATTTAAATTCGCGAACGCTTTTCCCGCAACCTGTCCTATGTTTCTATAGGAACGTAGCTTGACTCGAACGGGCAATAGCAAAGCTGGTTGGACAGGCCAACCTGGCGAGCGTGCGTCGACAGCGCGCAGCCGCCGCCCGAAACGGCAAACGAGCTGGGTCTAGAGGGATGGGGTTGGCAACGTAGTGCAGTTCTCGCACGTCACTCTGATATTCCACAGCACAGCCTCCCTCTTGCGAACACTGGCAATGTCGATGGAGACAACCCACTCCTCAGCGATACAGGGCCACGGCCCCCCTCCCTGCCCACCGCCGCCTAGTGTGCTCTCTGCCACCTGTAGGCTGAGATCGTTTTTTTCCGATTGCAAACGACGATCCGCAGGTCGGGGCCAAGTACACGAAACGCGCATCTTGACTTCGTGCCGTTCCTGACGCAGGACCTTCCGAGGAACGAGCTAGCTGCGTGGCCCGGCCAGGCCGCTGGCAGGTGCGCTAAAAGACAACCAACAAAAACTGTTGTTGTTTTTAAAGACTGTTGTTGCACCACTCTGTTTTTCTTGGAAAAATATGATGCACGCAGTAGACTGTTTTTGCGTGCACCTTTTTGTGCTTTCCAATTCCTATGGTAGTGCATGCGTGTGGGCCCGACTGGGACCGCAGCAAGGGGCGGGCGTCTGGGGTTGAAGTCGGCAACACTTGTTCCCAAATCCACAAAGCGGGAGAGCGCGCGTTTATAAACGAGCGAGGCGCCAAAGCCGGCCTGGACCCTGCGTCATCGTCCCCGATGTTTACCAAACCCGCATTTGCAATGCTGGGGCCGGAGCGGCACTACAGTGGCCGCCCCACCCGCCCCGCGAGCCCGAATTCACCGATGGACGTCCCACTAGGATGGCACACTCGGCTCGGCTGCCTGGCACGCAGATTCCCTGCGCGTGGTTGGCCCACATGCCAGCGAACATGCGCAAAAGAAACCACGACTCTGGGAGTCAGGGAGATGCGCAGGCAATGCGGATGGGTTGCTCCTGCACACGGCCCGCAGCGCCCTTGCTCTCTGGATGGCGTCGAAAGCCAGGCCCTGCGTGCGAAAAAGCGCGACCACCCTCCTGCCAGACATGATGTTGATAATGCTCTGCGCCAACCGGTGACAACGGATCGACGCATGGGGCGACCATCGCCTCCGGGCACTTGGCTGACTTGGCTAGGCAGGCGAAAGTGGTACCCATGAAGGAAATTCACAGACATGCGCACAGTCAACTTCACGGATGTACAATGTCTACTGCTGTTGAAACAACAAACCTGTATGAGCGATGGTTTGTACAAAGACTTTAACACAAACTCAACAATTTTTTTTTTGGAACTGACGCCTCTTTACTACATCAGCAGCGCAGTAGGCCGTCCTTGTGGGTCTCAACACTAGAGGTGAAACAGTCGCAGGCGCGAAAACCGAAACAAGCACACACACCCACCACACACACACACACCACACACACACACACACAACACCCACCACACCCACCACACACACCACACACACCACACACACCACACACACCACACACACCACACACACCACACACACCACACACACCACACACACCACACACACCACACACACCACACACACCACACACACCACACACCCCACACACACCACACACACCACACACACCACACACACCACACACACCACACACACCACACACACCACACACACCACACACACCACACACACCACACACACCACACACACCACACACACCACACACACCACCCACACCACACACACCACACACACCACACACACCACACACACCACACACACCACACACACCACACACACCACACACACCACACACACCACACCCACCACACACACCACACACACCACACACACCACACACACCACACACACCACACACACCACACACACCACACACACCACACACACCACACACACCACACACACCACACACACCACACACACCACACACACCACACACACAACACAACACACACCAACACACAAC